GAGCGAAAGTGAGATCGGATGAGGCGGCGTACATCATAGCCATTCATAACCAGTATTTTTATTTTGTTAGCAAGATGGAGGAGAAGAGGAGGAGGAGGAGGAGGAGGAGGTGTAAAAGTACTAACACTATGCGAGCAGATGGAGAGACGAGCGAGAGCAGCTTTACGACACTAACCTAGCGGTACATTACTTTTATTGTTCTAGTCAGATAAGCTTTGTTTTTGCCGGTACGCCTCACAGCCGGCTCTTTCCTGTCAGTGAACAGCAGCGAGAGCTCGAGCCCTGTGAAGCCAGCAGCCCCGATACCTCACCGTGGTCCTGCCGAGACAGCACACGCTAACCAGAGGCCAAACATACTCTACAGACAACTCTACTGTGGCAGGTTAGACCCCAGACGTCACCTTCACCGCTCGACAGCGTCACAGCAACCGCCATTTAAATAAGAACCAAACTCTACGCTGACGTAAACGTTCCTCGTGTAGACAATTAAAAGGCTAGTTGTGGTTATTTGACGTGCAGTTCTGTGAGGTCACGTACAGTCAGCGTGTTACCTGCAGTTCATTCAGGCTACTGGACGGACAAACTGAGACCTTTGCAAACGATGACGTAGACACCCACGGTCTCTCCTGATTGGCTCTCGTCAGCCTGGACTACCAGTGGTGAATATGGAAACCGTTGATTTAGAATATATTCAGCTCTTTATCTTCCCGCCAAAACAAAATGAAGTTGAGCTCTTCCTGATTCACTCAGCTGACCTGCTGCTGCGGCCTAATACAGTGCGTGCTGAAGGTGTGCTTGTGTGTAGGTTGTAGGAAGTTCAGCGGTTGAGAAAAAGGGAAGTGCAGTTTTCACAGGAAGATAAAGCGCTTTATATTCTACATGAAGATTCATCTAAACAGATATTGGATTGTTTCGGTGCACGTTTTGAAAAGTGTCTAAAACGGGTGTTTTCTTCTGGCCCCGCCCACAGCAGCTCATCACTCTGCTAGTGCAGCGGTCCTCCTGCTGCTTCCTAACTGAACCTCCCGCAGGAAACACTCTGACTGGACACGACGACCTCACACAACCCCACGTCAAACAACCACACCTGTACCTTTAAAGTCAGGATGACATCAGCACATGATCACGGTCGTGTGTTAGAGCTGCGACACCAAACTGACGGAAAATGTGAATTTAAAATCAACATGAAACACAAGGTGTGATTGAATGTATAAAGATATTAACACTAATGACGTGATGTTGTTTTCCACGTGTTGACTGCTTCAGGAGCAGCAGCTGTTTAAAGTTCACACTCGTTCTAACGTCAGTGTTATTAAACTAGTTCTAACTAGTAGTCACCCAGTATTTACACCCAGTAACTGCTGCGGTGGAAAGTAACTAAGTACTGTACTCGAGTACAGTTTTGAGGTACTTGTATTTTACTTGAGTAGTTTCATTTTATGCCACTTTTACTCCATAACATTTCAAACCAGAGTTACTGGTTACTTTACAAATTCAGACTGTAAATAAAAAAAAAACAACTAAAAAACAACCAAAAAACCTATGATGACTTTATATAACACAATCCTTTGTTAACGAATAAACTAGGCTGCAACTAATGAAAGATTTCACTATTGATTCATTTGTTAATTGAACTTTATGAGATAAATAACATAAAACAAAGAGAAGCAGCTTCTCCTCGCGTTGGAGAAACTCACAGATCGTTTCATGTTTGATAAAAGATCAGTTTATAAAGCAGTTAAAATGAGCTTCATCCTGACCTGCTACATTATGAAATCAACACTGACGCATTTTAAAGTATCGATGTTCATACACCTGTAATGTAGTATATATGATAATTCAACTCTATGAATGAGGTTATTCTGAATAATGAGTAGTTTTACTTTTGATTCTTTCAGTACATTATACTTTCAATAAAGTTGCACTAAACACCTTAAGGTAAGATTTCCCTTAAAGTCTGACTTAAGGTTTCTTCAAAATAAAAACGGTTGCACAAAACACCCTTAAGTCTTCTCCTTGAAATTTCCTTAAAATGTTCAAATGTTTTCGTTCATATAAAACAAGAAATTTAAAAACCTCAAAATAAAAAAATCTACAAACAGAGTTGATCATTAGTTGCAGCCCTTTTGCCCGTTGTACAGTGTTTTCAGACCGTAGGCAGATTCAGATGTTGAAATGACTTTTAAAAAGGGAAATTTGTGAACACGTTTTCCACTGGATTGATGCGTCTTTAAATGGAGTTTGGTGCGACGTTGTGTAATTACAGTATGTGACATGTCGGGTCTGACCGCCACATGAACCGGAGCAGGCAGGAAACATTTACCTCAGTCACTCAGCAGCATCACTCAGTATCTGCTCTCTCTCTCTTTTCTGTCTGACACACAGGAAAAAAAAAGCTGAAGTGGGAGACGTGCTTTTTCTTTCAGAGAGAAATTACTGATGATACCAATAACAATGATATTGATGGAAATAATAATAATAATAATAATGATAATGACGGTCAGAATAATAGTATTAATTTTATTTGTTTTTAAGACACCTTTTTATTTTGTATGCTTACTCCATGTTAACACTTTTTTTCCGACTCCATGTTGTAATTCAGTTGAAATGTCTTTGTGCCTTTTTTTATTTTTGGGATAAAAAGAAGGAAAAAATATATATAAGATTTGCTATAAAGCCTCATTGTCAAGGTTTCAGTATCCCTCACTCTCTTTTCATGCTGTCTTCTCCTCCTCAACCTCATCCTCCATTCATCAAGGGTTAAAAAACAAAACAAAAAACAATTAGCAGAAAATGTCAATGAAAATACCTACTTTTTCTACTTGTGCCTTTCTGTGTCTGTCGTCTCGTCATCAGCCTCTGCCTGCGTTCCTGTCGCTCTGTCTTCATCCATCCTTCAGTTTAGAGCTTGCCTGTTTTTCTTTCGCACCACATGACCTACCCAGTCATTTCTACCGGACTTTTCTTTGCTCATGTATTTGTCTATATGCACCTTTTCCCTCCCCCCACCCCCTCCGATCATCATGTTCCGTGTCCTTTTCTCAGTTTCAAAACTCTTTGTGCCTTTCTCTGTCTCTTTTCTCTCTTTGCTGGGACCGTGTGTTGAGGGTGGGCGGTGTCGTCTGTCCACCCTGTGTGGTTAGTTTCAGGTACTACATTGAATTTAATGATAATGATATAATATAAATATAGTGAAACATAGTGGTTGGTGTGTTGTCTCTCTTTTTTTTTTTTTTCTTCCCCTTTCACATGCTTGGGTCAGAGTTTGACTTAAAGATTAGCAGGTTATCCAGATAACTTTGGGCTTAACTAGTATCACAAAGCTGGCTCACTTTTAACCAGCTAGATCACCATGGTAACCTAACCTTAGAGGATCAGATCAAAACCTGTCAACCGGCCGACTACTGACCAATCAGACACCTGAAAAACTGAGCCTTCATTTCTACAGGATCCTGACAGGGACAAAAAGAGTTCAAATGAGCAGTAGATTTTGTATAGATCAGTATTTAATATTTTTTATCTCAGTAACGCCTTGACGGAATTTCTCTAAATTTGGTAAAAACGTTGACCTGGACTCAAGGATGAACTGATGGACAAAGGTCACAGTGACCTCAGAAAACACTTTTTAGCCATTGCTCAAGACTTCAAACAACAATTATGACCAAATTTCACACAAATTCTTAATATTTTATATGACTCTGGATAAACAGGGATGTGACCTGAAACTAGTGGCGGACGGAAACAAACGCAAGGATGTAATTCTAGTTTTCATGTGCATCACATAAAATCACATAGTTTGTTTAATCAGACAAGAAAATAAAATAAATAAACTCTCTATACTAAAGATATAATTCCTGCACTTATTTATAGCCTTAGAAATTATTTTATTTATTTATTTATAGCTTTGCAGTTATGTGTCATATTATTCACGTTTCACCTTGTTGAACGTCACTTCCTGCTGATGCAATAACTGAATTTACCTGCAGGTATCAGTATTTCATCTCACATCATGTTGAATAGTTAACTCACTGTTCCGGCGATGTCGTTGATAATTAATAACTCCACCTGTTTCAGATCACAAAATTTAAAAAACATTTAACAGAGAGTTTAATATCAGGTGAATAAATGAGAATAGCAGGTAACAGACTTGTTAAATGTAAGACATTGCAGAGCTTTCAACCGCATCTCATGGTCTTCCTCTGTGGATGGATGGATGTTAAAATGGGATAACCTTTTATGAATAACTTCTAGTTAAATAGTATACCACAAACACTGAACTTTATTGTTTTATGCTTACTTATTGCTGGTAATTTAAATTTTTTTTTAAAAATGACCTAATACCAATACTACCATTAAATTGACCAATACTGCTATTAATTAAATGAAGGTTAATTTATTTAATTTATATAATTTAATTATATAATAATTACATTTTTAATGTAATTTCATTTAATTTTTTATTTAATTTAATTTCTAACCCTAACCCTATTTTATTAATTTCTAATTTATTAATGAAATTAACAACAGCCTTATCAAAAAATCTTTAAGGCTTTGCCAGGAATTAAAACTTTATTTAGTCCATCATGTATTTGTTGTAATAATTTGTGCTAATTTGCGTCCAAACACAAAATAAATAATTCTCTTCCAGGACCAGTGGACCCGCCTTCAAGGAGCAGAATTATCATATTTATGATTGACAGCAGAAAAACAAGCCAATGGGAGAAAAGGTCAGAAGTGATTGACGTAAAGTTTATCCAATCAGTTGTTACTTTTAATCAATAGGCGGGGTTTACGATTGGTGCGTTCGTTAGACTCGCTCGGTTGAGCCCGATTGCGTTCACTGTCTGTTAATATGTGAAAACATTAACACCTCCCGCCAAACTACATTGATAGAATTGACGATGTGAGATGCAGCAAAAACTCATAGTGATACATATGAGAATATTTAAACGGATTCGGATGCCGGAAACGAATCCACCCGCCAGACTCGAGCCGTATCACGTGATCAGCAGTTTCCGGGTGTTGACAAACCGAGCGCACCCGGCGCCGTGTTTTGTTGTTGTTTTTCAGCGGTGTATCGTGTTTGGCCTGTCAAACCGAGTGACTTTTCACCGGAACGACGAAACTGGAGTAACAGGGATGCACATGACTAAAAAGTATAACTTATAACTCAGACTTGCTCACCTGTCAGTTTCTAATGTGATGACAACAGCGTTTCTAGCGGCTCGTCCGTGTCTCTTGGTAAAACTCGACGTCTACGCCAAAGCTAGCTAGGTTAGCTTACCTAGCTAGCTGATTTTACTATTCTGTACAACAGCAACATTTAGATTTTCCGACTTTATATTCAAGAGAAAATGTTAAGATTATGGTAGTTGCATTAATATTCACCAAATCACGCTATGTCAGTGGTGAGGTTGCTAGCTCGCTAGCTAGAAAGGCAGCAGTGTAGCCTGTGTGGGGCTTGTTTTTATTGTTCTCACTGAAGGAGGAGTTGGTATCTGTAGCTGTTAGCTGACTGTTATTATTTTCACCTTTTGCAGGACAAGGAACACAATGAAACCACCGTCACAGACTCAGTCTTCTCCCGTAAACAGCCTGGTAAGTCGAGCCTGCTCAGCGCAACCTTTAACACAGTGAGCTGTGATTGTTGTGAGCAGCTGATGAATTATTTATCCCAGCTAGGTGTGCTCATGTTTTCCTAGTTAATTCTGAGGTAAGAGTGATTTTTTAAACGAGCAGCAGATTTTAAACATCCTGTCACTGCTGACAACAAGCACCCAGGCTGCTGAAGTGTCCTTAAAGCCTCGGTCCAGACGTAGACAACAGGCTACATATATATTAATATGTAAATAGGATATTTAATGCTGCAGCTGGGTGAATTGGAGCCAGTTTAACTATACACAATTTGGATTGTCTCATGTTTTGTTCTGTATGTCAGGTATATTCTGTATGTTCAAAGTAACAGACTCTGTATAATGGAGTAAAAAATACAATTTCTCCCTTTTAAATGTTAAAGCTTAATTAAAAAGTATCTCAAACCTGTGCTCCAGTAAAAACATCTTGTTATATAGTTCAACACTGTCACTTTACTAATGTTTTTTTTGTTGCTGTTAAAAGTTTAAATAAACACTAAATTAAAAAAAAATAATACGAGATTAGTCAAGTCAGTTTAATCGTTATACACTAAAATCAGGGATTTATGATCTGTTCAACATATGAAACTGATTTAGATCCTTGATTCAGTTTAAGGAAAAACTGTATAAAAACAACAACAAAAACAAATAAACAAGAAAAAAAAATGAAGATAGACCAACAGAGCAGGGATCCCTTCTTCAGGACCAACAACATGCAGCACAAACAGAACAAGCAGGAATGACACTTTATTATCAAGTAAATACAAATTATAAAGTGTGATGTGCTGAGAATCAGACAAAGTTAATTTCTTTTAAAAATCTGTAACAGAAACTCGTGTATACATCACAGCCTGAACTAACATTGGATTACAGACTTAATTGATCAATACTGGCTTGTTGCAGATGTATTGGATATTTGCTTATATGTTCATCAGATAAGTAAGAAGAAATGTCTGAAATGTAGGTGTCAGACAGTTTCTCCATCGCTGAGTTTGTCTACCAGAGAGCAGTGACAAGTTTATTTTTACACTTCATCACTAACGATTATTCCATTATTGATTAATCTACTGAATACTTTGTTGATTAATTGATCAATTGTTTGGACTATAATATATCAGAAAAATAGGTAAAAAACTGCTTGTTTTGTCTGAACATTAGTTCAAAACTCGGAAGATATTCAAGAAAATCCAGAAATATTTTCATTTGAGGCTGAACCAGTAAATCTTTGAATTTTTTATTATAAAAAATACTTATTTTCAGTAGTTCAACTAACTTAATAAATTTTAGCTCTAAACCTAGGGAGCCTTATCAGAAACAGTTGTTAATTTTGTAGATATAAACAAAAAAGATTATTGGTTGATATATTGTTGTTGAATCTTTTGATCAGTATTGGCTTCAAAAATATACAAAAGCTTTTTATTGTTCCACCAAACAAGATTTAGTCCTGTCAATCATCCTGACCTTTGTTCTAATTCAGCATTTTACAAAGGTGATAAACATTTGTTCTGTGTGTAGATGACTCTGACTTATCGTCTGTGTTTGCAGGTATTTGAAGGTGTGTACAACAACGCTCGGATGCTTCACTTCCTCACAGCGGTCGTGGTGAGTAGTTGGTGTCATGTTCTGGTTTAAGTGGATTTTTTTTAAGCTGATGTTGGTGTAAAGAAAAGACTGAAGCTTTCCTCATTGTTGATCGCAGGGCTCCACCTGCGATGTGAGAGTGAAAAATGGCACAGTGTATGAGGGGATCTTCAAGACTCTGAGCTCTCAGGTAAAAAAGCTGCACAGTCTCTCACCTGAGCTGTCACACCAGCTGCATTAAAGTTCAGAAATGGATGATTTCTCTGTGTGTACTCTCCCGTCTGCCAGTGCGAGCTGGCCGTGGACGCTGTTCATAAACGAAGTGATGGAGATGAAGGAGGGGGAGGTGAGGAGGGAGGCGGAGGAAGCCAGACGTCTGCCCCCAAGATTGAGGACATCACTGACACCATGATCTTCAGCCCGACCGACCTGGTCACCATGACCTGCCGGGATGTGGATCTAAACTTCGCTGTCAGAGGTAACAGACTCACAGAGCGGCTGTCGGAGTGTGGGGGAGGAGCGTCAGTGTCGTTATCTCTATGGTTGTTAAAGCTCTTATTCACTCTTATTTAATAACTTCTGTGTGTGTGTGTGTGTGTGTGTGTGTGTGTGTGTGTGTGTGTGTACAGACACGTTCACCGATACAGCCATTGGCCCGTCGCGGGTGAACGGCGAGCACAGAGAGAAGGTGCTGCAGAGGTGGGACGGAGACGGAAATGGAGAAAACTTCGAGCTGGAGTCAGACACAGTGAGGAAACACACACAGACACACACACACACACACACAGACACACACACACACACACACACACACACACACACACACACACACACAGACACACACACAAGTTTGTTGTCAACCTGTTGGATGTGAGAGAAACGTGCAGGTGTAAAGACCTGAGCGACTTCGACATCATGGACAGACAACGGGGCTCATATTTCTTATTTTTTAGATAAAAAGATAAATTCGAGATGCTTCAGACACAGTTTCTCATTATGTAATTTGTCCACCAGGGGGCGTGATAGGTTTACTGTTACACTGGAAGCGCACAACTTCCTGTAGTTAGATCCAAAAATCTATAATCTAAAATCTTAATGTAAAATGACTCGATATCAGACTCAAGAATCAATATTCGGCTTTTTCATAGTGATCCAGTGATTTCTGTTGTTGCATCCACGTGATTGTTACAGGAAACGTTGTTGCTCCTGAATCTGTGTCACCGCTTCATGTTTGTTTGTTTTTTCTCTCGTCAGTCAAACGGCTGGGACGCCAACGAGATGTTCAAGTTCAACGAGGAGGCGTACGGCGTCAAGTCCACCTACGACTCCAGCCTCTCCATGTACACGTGAGTGAGATCACCCCCACCCTCGTATAAAACTACGTTTCCTCTTCCAAAGAAAGTGGTCAAATCAAATCATGTTGAAAAGACGCTTCACTCCCAACATGGCCTTCCTGATAATCGTTGTCTTCCCAGCATGCCTTTGGAGAGGGGGAACTCCGAGGTTTACCGGCAGCGTGAAGCGCGAGCAGCCCGGTTAGCCGGCGAGATCGAGGGCAGCCTTCAGTACCGCCGGCGGGTTTCCTTAGAGAACGACGAGGGCAGGAGCGAGGAGGACAAATACAGCTCTGTGGTCCGAGAGAGGGAGGACAGGGCCAGCCCCGGATTCTCCTCCAGCGGCAGGTCAGAGCAGCTTCGTCACGGAGCCTCTGGAAATAACTTATATCTGTGGTGCAGTTCTCCGTCCTCCTCCTCAGGGTTTCTGCAGGTCTTACAAAGTCTGAGTTCAGGCCTTTAAAGGTTTTGATCCTAAAACTCAATAAAAACTAAAAAACAGGAAGTCGTGGTGAAATCAGTAACCAGAGCAGCTGAAGTTAACATCCCCACATCTCCCTAAACTAGAGTAAAAGCAACAATGATTAAATGACTGAAATTAATTCAGTTTGAACGGCATCTTATGTCTGTTCACTGTCCCTCCTGGGTTCACGTTGAAACACCCGCCATCTTGTTTTCCAGGGAAGGTAAATACATTCCCCGGGCCCGAGAGATCGGCCTGCCAGCGAGGGCCGGAGCCTCCGGTCGATCCGCGGCGGCAGCAGCGACCTCCTCCAGGCACCCGCCGCCCAGCTCCTCCTCGCCCAAACCGCCCTCTGACAGGAGCAGCCCGCTGTCCGTCAGAACGGCCTACTCTCCTCACCAATCACAGAGCAGCCCGCCTGCCGCCGGCAGCCCGCCCTGCACCAATCACGTCCTCCCACACTCGCTCTCTCATCCTCAGGCGCTGGCCGACACCCCCCGCTCGTCTGTCAACGGAGGTAAGGAGCGGGGAATTATAATAATGAATTGTGTCTTTATTCATTAAAGGTAATTAAAACTAGATTCATCTCTTATTTATTAATAAGTTTCATAAATAGATTTGATTTAACATGAAAGTCTGATCTCTTCTGTTTACTGTCACACTTCAACCCTTCCTCCACTTTAGTGTATAACTAGTACATAACTAACTATAACTAGTGTGTTGCTCCTTAGTGTTTGTGTGTTTGTGTGTCTGTGTGTCTGTGTGTCTGTGTGTCTGTGTGTTTGTGTGTTTGTGTGTTTGTGTGTCTGTGTGTTTGTGTGTCTGTGTGTTTGTGCATCGGCTCTGACTTCCTGTCTCGTCTTCAGTTGCGATGAGAACTTCCCCAAAATCTCAGAGACTTCAGAGAAACCTGCGGACCCCCCACTCCCAGTCCTCTCCTGCAGGTACACACACACACACACACACACACACACACACACAGACACACACACACACAGACCAGATGTGATGTTTGAAGAGAACAAACCTGGTCATGATTCACTCCTCATTTAGTGATGATCAGATTATGTCTTGTTTACCTTGTACAATCTGTCGATCAATCGATTGATTGATCGATCGATCAGTCACCTTGAGTGAAATTGTTTTAAAATGTTTTTTAACGTTTTAAAACAAAATGATCTTTAAAAACATAAAAAATCTTTAAAAACTCCTTTTGATTTAAATTTTTTCTTGTATTAAGAACTGTCAGTGTGTTAAACCAACGATAGGAACTTCTGTCGAACCACATCGTATACGTGTTGCAATCTCAGTCTGATTGATCGCTAAAAGATTTCCTCCGTGGTAAAAACATCAGAATCAAAGTTGATAGCTGGTTGGAAACAGGAAGAATTAAAAGGAAATGTCAGAGACAGATGGAGAATCAACAAGTGATCTGCTCTCAGTTCAGTCCTGAATGTTTGATCGTTATCGTTAAAATAAAAAGTGCTCTGAGGAGACATTACCTGAGAAGCTCCTCCTCCTTTCACTCGTCCTCCTCACCTTCCCTCCGTCTCTGTTTCTCTCTCTCTTCATCCATCTCTCCGTCCGACAGTCTCTCGTGCTCCAAAACCAGACGCCCCTCCCCAGGACCCCCCGCCGGGTGGCCCTGCCTACCTGGACTCATCACCCTCCGCTGTCACCACGGCAACCACCACCATCACCGCCACCACCAAACCATCCGGCCCCACCCCTCTCTTCCCTGTCGATGGTGAGACGTTATTCAGTTATTTGATGGTGGTTTGACTCAAACTTTATAACCTGATGTTTATCTCAACAGTCTCGACCTCGATCCAGTTCTACAGGTGACAAATAGTTTAAGTCGTTGTGGTGCAGGACTGTAAATGATCTTAGACAATAAACAACAAGAATCATCTTTAAACTGAAAATTTGTCCAAAAGATTTCATTTTTTAATCACACTGAAATAGCGATGACGGGTTGTTTCTCCATTATTTTCACTGCTGGCACTAAACTGATTTATCAGACCAGGTTGCAACACCTGTGACAGTATCAATGAGTTCTCTAGTTAATTTCCTTATACTTCATTATTTCTGCTGATTTTTATAATTATTCATTTGAAAAGACATAGTGAAATAATTAATAATAAAATGCTAAAATACCTCGATGGTTATTAATAACTAAACATTATAGAATTCTTTACGTTAAAATGTTTTGGGTTCAAATGCAACAAAATATTGTTACTGATATTGAGCTGAATTATTTACACTTAATGTGAAGAAACAAATCATGAAATCATGTGAAGTGAGGCTTATTTATTTAGTATAAATGTTTTTTTGTGCAAAGGTTTTTCATCTAATGACAAACAATTAATGAAAAGTGAATGTAACCATGTAACTGAACTATCAACAAACTGCTGAACCTTCCAAAATAAAAGGAAGAAACAACAAAATACTGAACCTTCCAAAATAAAAGGAAGAAACAACAAAATACTGAACCTTCCAAAGTAAAAGAGCACACGTTCTAAAGGGATAACTTGACACAGTGACGTTAGATTCATCAGACATGTTAATGAACTCACTCTTTGTCTTCCACAGTGAATGAAATCCTGAGTTCAGCAGCTAAAGAGCGAAGTGAGAGTCAGTCCAGTCCTCAGGACGGCAAGAGCAGCAAAGGTAAAAGACTTCTGTCCTTCCACTCGACCTGACTGAGTTCAGGCTTCAGGCAGCCGTAACACACAAACAGCAGCAGTGATGTTTAGTCTTAAAAACACCTGCTTCTCCGTCTCCATCAGCTCCGTCGGTGCAGCAGAGGTCTCAGCTCGAGGAGCTCCGCAAGTTTGGGAAAGAGTTCAGGGTAAGACCTGCTGTGGTGCTGAGGGTGGGGGTTTTCTAACAAGACGGGGGGCTTCGATCTGGATTCAAAGTTTAGAGATTTGATATTTCGAGTGAAATTTAAAGCTCCATATTTTCCTCTTATCCTGTGTTTTATTTTGAAGAGTGCAGTTTTACATCTCCTCTCTCAGGCTTTTGAAAGGTGCTCTGAGAAAATCCTTGGCAGGTGATTGGATGAACAATGCATCTGTAGTTTTTCACTCTGTCTTCTTTTCTGTCCGTCAGCTGCAGCCCAGCTCCTCTCCCTCAGCGAGCCCGGCGTCTGCAGATCCTCCTCAGCACAGCTCCGCCCCGCCCCCCGACTCCTCCTCTTCCTCCTCATCCTCACCCGGCCCGCCTAAACCTGCCACCTCCCTCACCGCCTCTGCCCAAGATCCGCAGCAGGCCTCCGAGGCGGCTCCCCTCACCACCACGCCTGCTGCTCCCACCCCTCCAGCTCCACCCAGACCCCAGTCCTCAGGGCCGGAGGGGGCGCCGCCTGGGAGCGCTCAGCCGACCCCGACCCCCGGCAGCGGGGAGGAGCCCTGTTCAGAGAGCAGTGAGCGAACAGAGGCTGTAGCTGCAGTGTAAGTTACAACACATCCGCTCAGTTTGTATTTACATGTATGTAGCTTATCTTCTTCTCAGTGCATATTTTTGATATCTATCCGTACGGACCATATACTATATTATTAATTCATCTATTATTGATCTTGTCATTTTTAGTACTTTTGCATTTCTCTTGTACCGTCCACTTTGCTGCTGTGACTCTGCAAATTTCCCCTTTGTGGGACTAAGACAGGAATATCTTACTTTACCTCACCTCACCTCACCTGTACCCCTGTAGACTTTTATTTTGTTGAGGTAATGTTTGGACTTTGACAGCAGACTCGTGTTATGAAAAGACCTTTATGTGTATTTTTTTATGACGTATTTTGTGGCTGAATGTCGTTTTCTTTCTTCTTTTTTTCTTTTTTTTTCTTCTTTTTACAGGCAAGTGAAAAACTCGACACTGAATCCGAACGCGAAAGAATTTCTTCCCATCAAAGGAAACGCGGTGCTGGTGAGTTTGTTGAACACACACTTTTCACTCACTCAGTGTGTTATAGAAGGTTTCTGTCGTGTCTGTTCCACAAACAGCTGACTCCACTTTGACTTTTCTCTCTGATTTAATTCTTCTTCTGTGGTGTGACAGAAACCTGCGTCGACCCCTACTCCTCCTCGACCGACGCCCCCCAGCCCCTCTGTGGTGCTGCCTCCTCCCGGACAGCAAGGAGGCGGGGCCATCTACAGCAACCCACCTGGACACTACCTGTCCTACGTCTCCCCGATCCCCCTCCAAGGACACTCCATCCAGGTTCGAATCCCTCGCTTTAGTCCGTTTGTTGTATTGTCTCGGTGATAAAATGTAATGTTGTCGTCTCCTCGTCGTCTCCTCAGGCTCCTCAGATGTACCAGTACGCCATGTCGACGGTGAACCAGGGCAAATACCCCAGAGCCAAAGGTACACACCGCACACACACACGCAGGCGATGATCAGCTGATGAGTAATTGTGCATTTGGGTCGAAGCTCGTCAGTCTGGTCAGAACGTGTCATCCACATGCTTCTTATAAACACTGACTTCCACTTCTGCTGGTTCAGGGCCGGTGGTGGGGCCCCGCCCGGAGCACCACGCCTCCCCGGCCTCCTCCATGATCTCAGCGGCAGCCTCCGCAGCTGGACCCCCGCTGGTGGCGTCGCCTTACCCCCTGTCCTACCTGCAGTACGGTCAGGTGATCCAGGCCATGCCCCCACACTATCACGGACAGGTAACCGCCGTTAACCAGAGACGTGTTTGTCTCCTTATGAAATAAAACAATTTTCTTTTTTTATTCTTGATTTTGGTTTAACACTTTTTGTTAATTTCCAGACAGTCTACTCGATGCTGCAGGCGAGTACAAGGATGCTGACATCCGGGGCCCCTCCTCAGCCGATGGGTCCTGGCCCCCAGTACCCCGGCCAGGCTGAGGGCCCGGGGCCGCAGCAGGCCATGTATGGTAAGAAGCGTCAGGACGTACGATATCTCAGGAACGCTTCCACGGAACTTCTTCAAACTTGGCACAAACATTCACTCGGACTTAATGAGGAACTGATTATATTTTGGTGGTTAAAAGGTCAAAGGTCAACGTCAGTGAGACCTCACAAAACAAAATTACAAAAAGACTTCACGGATGGTTCATATTTTATACGACTGGATAAACAGGGATGTAACCTGGAAGCAGTCTGAGTGGAGGAAGCAGTAATTCTAATTTTAATGAAAATTACAACAGTTTTTCTTTAAATGAAAATAATTTTTGTCATGATCAGTTTTCATCAGCTCTGAATTCAGGGCTCAGAAAGGAAAAGGGTGTGAAACAAAATGTTCTTGTGGTGAACACAAGTCAGAACATTTATCTGAGATCAGCCACGCAGGAAAATCAGCTGCACACCCACATTTGTTCACTTGATAACGATGAAGCCAAAGTCGTTCATACGGTTACATAACGAGCTTTTAAGTGCAATTTAAACTGGATTTTAAATTAAACCATGAATAGTTTTAATTTCTCACACAAAGTGCAGTAAAGAGAAGGAAGGTGAATCTGATCTGGACAACTGCAGTTATGTTCCTGCTCTTATTTACTCTCTCCTCTCTCTCTCTCTCTCTTCTCTCTCTCTCTCTGTCCTCTTGGTCCTCTGATCTCTCTCTCTCTCTCTCTGTTCTCTCTGTCTCTCTCTCTCTCGTCTCTCTGTCTCTCTGTCTCTCTGTGTCTCTCTCTCTCTCTGCTCCTCTCTGTCCATCTCTGTTCCTCTCTCTCTCTCTCTCTCTCTCTGTTCTCTCCCCTCTCTCTCTCTCTCTCTGTCTCTCTCTTCTCTCTCTGCTCTGTCTCTCTCTCTCTCTCTCTGTCTCTCTCTCGTCCTCTCTCTCTCTCTCGTCTCTTCTCTCTCTCTCCTCTCTCTCTCTCTGTCTCTCTTTCTTCTCCTCTTTCTCTCTCTCTGGTCTCTTCTCTCTCTGCTTCTGCTCTCTCTGTTCTCCTCTCTCTGTCTCTTCTCTCTGTCTCTCTATCTCTCTTTCTCATCTCTGTCTCTCCTTGTCTCTCTCTCTCTTCTCTTCTTGTCTCTCTCTCGTCTGTCTCTCTCTGTCCCTCTCTCTGTCTCTTTGTCTCTGTCTCTCTCTCTCTGTCTCTCTCTCCCTCTCTCTCTCTCTCTGTCTCTCTGTCTCCCTGTCTCTCTCTCCCTGTCTCTCCCTCTCTGTCTCTCCCTCTCTCTCTCTGTCTCTCCCTCTCTCTCCCTCTCTCTCTCTCTCTCTCTCTCAGCTCCTCAGGCGTTCTCTCACCACTCGGGCTCCATCCATCATCCTCAGCCCTCCAGCACCCCCACTGGGAATCAGCCCCAGCACACAGCACCCAGCCCAGGACACTCTCAGGTGGGAGCTGCTGCCGACTCGTGTAACACTCAGGGTTTCTGAAGTTACTGTGTTTATGTCGTTGATGATGATGATGATGATGATGATGATGATGATGAGTCCATCAGCAGGAAAAGCCTTTGTGTATTTTGTAAAATTGTTGACAGCACAACGTATATATATATATTATACTCTGCTCATCTTTGCCAAAATTTAATACAATAAATTGTATTGTTAATTGTTTAAGTCTAAAACAGGAAATAGAAATAAAAAGGAAGCAGGTTTTGGCCACTTGGCACCAGGTGATGTTCCTGTTAACGTCTGTGTGTTTCCTCTCAGTCGAGTCAGGGCGGTCCTCAGCCTCAGTCCTTGTTCCACTCCGGAGGTCTGTCGGCTCCCAATCCTCCGAACCTGCCGCCGGGACACAGCTCCCCGCAGGCCTCCTACACCATGCAGGGATACGGCCTCCCCACCCACCAGCCGCTGCCCCACGGCTTCGCTTCCATCAGCCAACTCACACAGGTCGGCACCAACGACACACACATGCCTCAGCGACCACGTGACCTGCCTGGTTTGGACCTGACGCCGTGACAACGTCAGGTCTGGACTCCGGTTCTGTTTGCGATGTCTCATCACTGTGTCTTTGTCCCCTGCAGGCTCACGTCACCGGAGGCATGTCAGGACCTCACCACTCTGCCGGCCACGGCCCCCCACCCGTCATGCTGCACTACGCCCCCCCTCAGCAGGGCGGCGGCTCCAACCCCCAGCACGGCCCGCCGCCCCAACAGGGAGCGCCACAGCATTTCTACATCGGACCACACCAAGGTAAAACACACCTGGGGAACAGCTGCACAAAACGCCCTTAAGTCTTCTCCTGAAGGTTTCCTTAAAATGTTCACTTAGGTGTTAAAGGTTTTCTCCTTATCTTAGTCTTAAACTTAAGGAAAAAAATTAAAGCTTAAGTGTCACATTTAAGTAGAAAACTTAAGGTGTTTTGTGTCACTGGTTCTGTGTGCTACAAAAAAAGCCAACAAACAATGAACAGTGGAAATGTTGCTGTGTAGAAACATGTTGTGGTGTTAACAGTGTGTGTGTGTGTGTGTGTGTGTGTGTGTTACAGCTGTTCAGGTTCAGGCTCACGCGGCCCAGCAGCTGTCCTTCCACCCCTCTGCAAACTGAACTGTCCTCGAGGACGAAACCCCAGAATCCCAAACAGCTCACAACATTCCCGCCTCCCAACGCCCCTGTTTTTTTTGTTTTTTTTACCCAGGTCTTTTAGAGCAGCAGGGGAAAGTTTTAATATGTAAGTACAGACTGTTTTCACACGCGGACACGAAGCTGGACTGACGACACAGACCTGTTGGAAGGTTTTGGACTGACGACAGTGGAAACATTGTTTTTTTTCTCCCCATCCCACCTCTGTCCTTTTACAAGATGAAACCAGTTCATTAATAATAAAACCACTGAAAAAAAAAACAATCAATCTCCTGCGATGTTTGTAACAAAAATAACTTCATATTCCATCCAACAACTTTTCTCAGGAAGATCCTGAGTGAGTTTGGTTTTCCAGCCTGTTGAAGTTGAGTTTCTTACTGAAGGAAACTTCAGGGAGAAGTTAGATCTCATCATCAGCTCAGTTTAGCCTTAAGTTACAGTTTACTGACTAATGTTGACTGTTTCTTTAATTATGTGACGTAGAACAATGAGTCTTAGTTTATAAAGTCTGTAAGAACTGGTCCTGGTCCTGGTCCTGGTCCTGGTCCTGGTCTGAGGAGTGCAGGTGTGTTGCCTTCACACTCAGTCGGCTTCAACAGTTTAATTGATTTAAATGAAATCCAGCAGAGTTAAAAAGGTTTGTTTAAGGTTTAATTCAGCTGTAGTAACATTGACAACATGGTAACAACACATAAATACACTGTAAAAAAAAAAAAAGTCATATGAGTGAAGACATTCTCAGGAGTGTCAGTAAAATGGAGTAAAGCTCAAACATCAGTCCCTCTACCTCACGGTGTCAGACGCACTGTGGAGGGAAGCGTTAACAAATAAGAAAACTATCAGATCTTCTCCAGATAAAAATGACAAATATACTTTAAAAGAAGCTACAGAATTTAAAACAGAGACAAACTGACAGACAATGATGGGGGAGGGGTCTCTCTCTCTCTCTCTCTCTCTCTCTCTCTCTCTCTCTCTCTCTCT